GAAGTTCCTGCGTATCGCCGTGCACTGCCCGTTTCTGTTTTGCAGTTGTCGCGGCTCAGCTGGCGCACCATAACTCGGCAAGCTACGGGAGCTTGTGCCGGGACACTGCTCAGACATGACACTACCCTTTAGAAAGGTTTGCTTTCCAAATGGGAAATGCAGTCAAAATGCTCTGACGTCAAATATTAAAAAAGCACGAGTGGGTGCCAAGCACATTTCCATGTTAATGCTGATGCCAATAAAGTCACGCAGTGGTAAGCTCACTACAAATATACCACCCTTAGATGTCACAACAGTCACAGAGTCCATAAGAAAAGTAGGACACAGGAAAGCAGAGGGCATAAAACTTTCTGGTACGATTAAACTGTAAGATTCAGGGGCTGTCGAACCCTAAGGGGGAATCCTGCCTCTGAGAGCTGTTAGCCCGGTCAAGAAAAAATATATATAACAAACATGATCCCAAAGATCTTTCATGTGCCTAGGTGACCCTTATTAAATGGGCTTTAAATGATTTTTATAGTAGGAATAAAGCAACGAAAAAGGTCTCTGGGTTTTACTGAGAAGGGAAATTTTCATAATAGTTAAACATTCCCTCTAAGAGTTAGGATCAGCTCTTAATGTTTTAATACCTTTATGAAGATTTTTGCAAAATGGCTGCAATCACATTATATAAATATTTAGAGGAGTGCCTGGTGCCATTATTTCCATGGTTTGGGAAGCCTTTGCACTTTAGCAGTTCATTTTATGGATTGAGATCTGTTTGAGATAATAGTATAAGCTTTGCGTACATTTTGCATAGCAAATAAAAGCTCCAGATACAAGTCCTTGAGTTTAAAGCTTCTGCCTGAAACCTTTATTGATAGAAATCTGTGAATAGTATCATCAAGAAGTAGCTGTTAGCTGGAAGCATAAGGACTAGTGGTCCTTTTGTTTAATTAGTGTATGCTTAGCGTGGTTGTTGGTGTTGCAGTGTTATTTTCATGGCCAATCCCTTCTCCTCCCTTTATGCCTGCTATAGAGCTTTGAACACTGCGATATGAGACCTCACCACGATGTCTGGCCCACCAGAAAGTTGCTCCCTCCTCTTGCTTGTGTGTAACACAGCTGGGGCTGTCCTCTCTTGATTTCTGAAGGCTACATTCAGTGCCAGGCCACTCTGCCTTTAAAAGCCCAGCAACTTTGATGCCTATCATCTCACCCGTGCAGTGAGGCAGCTTCTGCCATCACTTTGCACGGAAGGTCTCGTCTCACTTTTTTGAGTGGCTACGACCTCTGGTGTCCTACGAAGTCTACTGAGCCCAGGTATTTGCGCACACAAATAATAAGATGATAACTTGAGATGTAATGAATCAAAGGAAAGGGAGTAACAGAGGAGAAACTGAGAAGTCAGCTTCCCAGGGTGGCTGTTAGACAGGGGCATCGGTTCTTTCAAGAGATTAATAATGTTCCTGTCGGTTTTTCATCCACAAGTCTCTTTCCATGGCTCCTGTAACTGTGCTTATGGAAGATCTGCAGCTTTTACCTGTATAGAGTAAGGTAAAATAGGATTTTTAATCTGAGGTCACATTCTGATGTGCGAGCAGGGAGTTTTTTCCCCTCTCTATATGTAAATTCTCAACAACAGGATGATGCCTGTAATAGGAAACCCTCTGGAGAGAAGCTGCCTGAACAGGAGCAAGCATCCAACGCTCCCCCGTCTTACGGTGGGATCTGTGCATCTGAACTCCCCCGAGCAACATGAGCTTCTTCCTAACGAAATGCGGGATAATTGCCCTCTGAGCCTTTCACGTGACAAGGGCTTGAAAGGCAATGAAGAGGAGAACAACCTGCACATTTCCTCCGGTGCTTGTTGTTATGAATGCATCTAAAGCCCTGCCTGACATGTAACGTCGGCTGTAATGTCTGCTTGTAATTCTCTGGCACTCTCTTCCTAGAGTGGCATCAAACTGTTGAAATGTCGCCTTTGCTCCCAGGAGGCCAAGCCCTGGCAGAAGAGGTTGCAGGAGAACTGCAAGCTTGGCTTAGGCTCATTTCTGCTATTCAGCATAAATCAGTCCTAAGCGTAAGACTGCCTTTAATATAGGGATCCTGTAGCCTGGCTTCACAAATACATTAAGTCCTTCTCTTAAGCACTAATAATACTTAATAAAAGTTTTATGAGCAGTGTACATTTTAGAGTAAATTTTCATATACGTTTTCATTTTAAAAAGAATATCAAGGAGCAAATGTATTCATGCCAGAACAAAGTAATTTAGTAAAGTCACAAAAACGGCACAGGCCCCCTCTGAAATAGTAAGAGAGTGTTGATTAGGCAAAGGGACCAATGGGGATAGGATTCAAAAACTTAATTCACCATGAAGGACTCGAAAGGGAAGAAATTCCCACGTGCTAGCTAAGCATATTCCTCTGCCTGGAGGGGTGAAAAAGAGCCTGGCTTCATAATGCTGCCCTGTATAGCCTTCTGGAGCTGTACATCTGGACTGCTCTATGTAGGCACTGACCTGGAGGAGGTACCTTTTCCTTCAGAGGCTCTTAGAGAATTCCTTAGGACTAGCATCAGCATGTGTCTGTACGGGTGGGAGCACCCGTGGGCATCGGGGGGCAAATGGAGTTGCCATCAGAACCAAGTCCTCAGGTGGGATTCACTTGCTGAAGCGTTGACATCTCGCGCAATTCCAGAGCGCCCAGGGCAGCCCACCTTTCCAGCCGCTCCTCCCGGAGGGTGACCCACCGCAGCCCGGTGCGGGTGTGCAGGCTACCCATGGCATCTAAAAAGGCACCAGGTGCCTTCACTGAGCAACCAAATCACTGCCCTCTCGACAATCAAAAAAAGGGTCTTTTTGTTTTCAGTCTACTGTTTTCAGCGCTCTGTAGTAGCTGCTTTATTATGCTTAAAATGTTGTCCTGCTGTGCTCCTCCCTGCAGTTTTCTGTGCCCATCTGTTGTCTCTCTGGGACAAGGAACAGTTGGAAACTACATACAAATTGTGTTCAGATTCACTGAATAGTTCCCGGAGGGACACAGAGGGGAAGGGAACCTCTTTTACCTCCTGCCTTGTAAGCCAGGGCTTGTTACAGAATGGGTTGCTTCGATGTTTGGGCAAAATGCAACACGCCAGTCTTTTACCTCTAGCAGATGCAAGGCAGCAACATGAACCTCTCCCCTAACCATCGGGCTGCCGAGTCGCCTGTGGTGAGCGTCCCTCTTGTTGGAGCCGCAGGAGCCAGATTGTCCGAGGGCGAATGATGCTGGTCTGGTGGGCAGGGCTGTGGGGGAGACGGGCAGGGGAGCTCCAGGCTGACTTTGCGAAGACGTGTAATAATTCATACACTTTTACTTGTTTGGGGGCAAAAGAAGGTATTTTTTCTTTTGACTAATAGGGCATGTTGAGTGGAATGGTTCAGGGACTGTTGTCTTTTTTGTCTTTATAGGAACATGCAAAGGACTTTCTGTGGTATAAATTACTTGCTTGTCGGGCAGGTGGGGGCTTGTACTGGACAGTTTTGCTAACAGGCGAATCCAACTTGCACTTTGTTGGCAGGGAGCCAGCAGGGCTCAGAGATTGGAAAATATTGCAGAATTTTGCATCTCATCACTGTTGTGTTTTAAAGTAATCATAGATTTGGAGAAATGGACCTGGAAGGGGCTTCCAAAATGTGGGTGTCAGTGTCCCAGTGAACACTGAGGTTGTCTACAAACGGATCAGGACAGCTGTTTGCCTCATGTGTCCTCAAAAGCTAACGGAAAACGGAGATTTCACACCAGGCAATTTGTTCTACTGCTTAACTAGCCTTACAGTCAGAAAATTTTCCCTCGCATCTAACCTAAAGCTCCTGTGCTGCAATTTCAGCACATAAGGTCCTGTCATATTCCCTGCAGATGTGATGATCGCTTTATTACTTCAGTCTTTGCAGCAGTTCTTTAGGTACCTGGGAGTGTTGTCATTACCTGTGGCGTGTTTTAAAGTAATCATAGATTTGGAGAAATGGACCTGGAAGGGGCTTCCAAAATGTGGGTGTCAGTGTCCCAGTGAACACTGAGGTTGTCTACAAACGGATCAGGACAGCTGTTTGCCTCATGTGTCCTCAAAAGCTAACGGAAAACGGAGATTTCACACCAGGCAATTTGTTCTACTGCTTAACTAGCCTTACAGTCAGAACATTTTCCCTCGCATCTAACCTAAAGCTCCTGTGCTGCAATTTCAGCACATAAGGTCCTGTCATATTCCCTGCAGATGTGATGATCGCTTTATTACTTCAGTCTTTGCAGGTACCTGGGAGTGTTGTCATTACCTGTGGCCCCAACCATTCCCTCAAAACTAAACACTCCTGGTTCATTCTGGCCACCCCCGCTGTTTTCCAGAGCTCCTGACTGTTCTTGCTTCTCAGATGTGAATTTTAGTTGATCCCCATCCTTCCCAAAGAGTGGTATTCAGGTGTGGAATTGGAGACACCGTTCCATCTGAGTCATTGCGAAGATGGCGTATCTGCTGAAGGTACAGATACCCATTTAGTTTAATCCATTTTCAGAGGAGAAGTCATCATGATGTAAGGAGCTTTTAAAAAAATAGAAAAAAAAAGGACAGGTCACAAGAAGAAAGGTATTTAATAGAAACCACCACTCTGTGCTGAACAAATAAATAACTTCTCAATGCTTTTCTATTCATATAGTTTCTTTCCACTTGAACTTCTTAGATTGTAGAATCATTGTTTAATTTTTAGATGTGTATTTCAAGTACCCTTATGAACAGGAACTATTTCAAAATATGATGGCAGTTAAAAAAATTATTATTATTGCTGTCTAAAGTAAGGGGTCATTATCAGATTGCTTGGGTGGGTGTGCACTTATGTTGAAGAGGAGACCATCTGGCTAATGGAGAATGTCAAACCCTTCATTTTGACACTCTGTTTCCACAGAGATATAAATAATAGCATTGATAAAGGTGTGAACCCTCTCATTTTGACAGGGAGATGCTCACTTGATGCCTTTGTCTCTTGCAGGAATCTTCTTTATGTCTATCCTCAGAGCCTTAACTTTGCCAACCGCCAAGGATCTGCCAGGAACATCACTGTAAAAGTCCAATTCATGTACGGAGAGGACCCCAGCAATGCTATGCCGGTGAGGGCAGCACTGTGTGCTCTGTGTGAATGCTGCGTGCCGATAAGGCAGAGTACACTTTGCAGTCGTAAAATCTCCATGTTAAAAAAACCTCATTAAAACACATTTCAAAATAACAAGCTCAGAGGAATGTAAAACTACAATATTTCAGAACAAAGAGTACGTATGTATACAGTTTGCAAAGTAACAGTGTAGTAGCTAGTATTTTAACCTGAGATGTTTGCAGTGGACCCCCTTGTGTTTAGAATAGCATCTTTGCTTCCATGCCAAAAAAAATTAAAGGTGATAGTTATACTTGTGTTCAGGGCCAGAAGTGATCAGCACTTGGTGAACATCTGCGTAGGGGTGGTTACATTCATCAGTTCTTCAGCCATACGTGTGTGCATGTGGAACTGAGATTATTAAAATTGTGAACTCTTCAGTGACTAAGTAAAGCGTTGCTTATAAGTGAAGGGGCATGTAACAAGCAGATGTATCTGTACACAGCTGCACAGACTCAGGGATCTCTGTGGGATTATGGAACAAATTCTTGGCACAGTTTTACAGGAGGGGGTGTCTGGTTTTTTTCTTCTTTTTTTCAGGTCATCTTTGGCAAATCTAGCTGTCCTGAATTTTCCAAAGAAGCATACACAGCTGTCGTATATCACAACAGGTAAAACACACAACAGCTTGTGAAAGGACATGGCCCTAAATGGGTAGTTATGATTCCACCCAAAGGAAATTTTACCAGTGTCAAAGTGGAGTAACTAGTAACTCACCAGTGACTGTCTTGCTGTTAATTATTTAACGATGACTATCTGCATAGCACTCACAGCAACTGCAGTGTCAGTTGAGACTATCCTTAGAGTTTTGCGATGACTGGGAGCCAGAGCCTTTGTTTGCTCTGGTACAGATCAGCACAGTGTCAGGGGCTGTGATCCTGAGCACGTAGCCCAGCTCAGCAGGTGCTGTAAGTACAAGCTTCAAGTTAGTAGTCACAAGGATTTACGTCATAAGCTCATGTTAGCATGTGCTTCGTTGTTTCGCTGGAGCCTTTTAGACTTCAGCTGCAGATTGGAAGTATTTCGTTTTGAAAATAATTTCATTGCAGCTGGGGTCAGGAGTGCTGAATCTGGCCTTAATATGTCGATAGTCTTTGTAGGTGTACCGGGGAGAGGTGTACAGGGGAGAGGTGTACTGGGGAGAGGATCGTGTCCTGCAGGTTGGGGGTTGTGGCAGTCTCCGTCCCGGGGGAAGCGTTCACTGCTCGCGGGGAGCAACGCGGTTCAGAGTGCCTGTGTGAGGTGGGGGCTGCTGCTTTCATTTTTTGTGGACTGTAAATGCATACTCGAAGTTTTTCCAGTCCTTGGTGGTCCGAAAGTGAAGCTTCAATCCTCTGGGATAGTCCGTATGCTTCCTTCCCTCCGGACACTTTAACTTAAAGGATTCGGTCTCAAGCATAAACTAGTAAAGCACACTGTTTGTGTTGATGACTCAGCTGAGGGTCTCGTCTCTGCACAGATCGCCTGATTTTCATGAGGAAATCAAGATTAAGCTTCCAGCCACTTTAACCGATCACCACCACCTGCTTTTTACTTTTTACCACGTCAGTTGCCAACAAAAACAAAACACTCCCCTGGAGACTCCAGTTGGATACACCGTGAGTTTTTCAGTCTTTATGTTTTTCAGCACAGGATATATTCATAATGCATTTGTTTGCAACTCATTTAGCATCACTGTCAACTCATACGCCGTTGCAGAATTTGAGAATTTGACAGTCAAGCCTGCAACGTCCAAGAAAACCTTAAAAAGTGTGTGATTTTGTTTTTTCTTTTGTTAATTCTGTCTCCTTAAAGTGGATACCGATGCTTCAAAATGGACGGCTAAAGACTGGCCAGTTCTGCCTACCTGTTTCATTGGAAAAACCACCACAGGCTTATTCAGTGCTTTCTCCAGAGGTGAGTTGTTCTTCGTGCTGAAAATCAGCAGGAGAATACTCCGGAAAAAGGGAAAGAATGTATATGTACATATATGCCTGTGTGTGCATGTGTATTTTTAGCTCTTAGGTTATTTATTTCTTAAATACTGTTAAGTTTAGACAGGTGTGTGGGCACGTGTGTGATACCTGACAACAAAATGAAAAGAAACGGCAACTGTAATTAGATGCGCCTTAGCTCTGCTTTCTGTCACATCCTCACTCATCTTTCTGTTAACCTGCAGGTTCCACTCCCCGGAATGAAGTGGGTGGATAACCACAAAGGGGTTTTCAATGTAGAAGTTGTTGCTGTATCATCCCTCCATACTCAGGTAAATGTTAAGGGCAGTCATTGGAATAAAGAGTTTGATAGTCTTTTGACAGTTGAAATGCTGTTGAAGTTGATCCTGTGAAGAGTGTAGTAATTACTTGTAGTGAAATTACGATCTCATTTTCAGTTCTGAGCCAGCAGACCTGTTATTCCACATTCTGCTGTGAGTATACTTGAGAAGTTCTGCTTAAAAATACGAGCAGTTTGGCCTTTATTCACAGGGGTGAATGGCCAACAGTGTTTTCAGACCTCAGACTGTTGTGTTTAATACAACAGGTCTAGCATACAGTTCAGGCATATGATGTTCTTGTCTTTCCTTTTCCCAACTCCACATGTTTTTCATCTGTCTTTCTTTGATCTGAAAAGAAAGATGACAATCATTTTGACTAGTTATTTCAACCTCTGTTTTATTAATTCCCAGTATGTGATTTTGATGGTTTTTGTGTATTTTATTTGTGCTGTAAATAGTACCATGGTTTTAGTGCATTTCTGTCTGTTTTTCTAAGAATACACAATCTGTGGATCCTCTAGTTTTGCCATGACAACTTCTGAACATTGTCTGATATCAGTTGAATTAGATGTATGGGCAGAGCTCTCCAAGATGTTGAGTTTCTGCTAGTTTTGTGAGATTAAATGCTCAGATAGAAGAATGAGGGAGAGACTCCGTCCATGAGGTACAAATCCATTAAAGGTGGAGTTACTTTTGGAGCTTCTTGCTGATTATTGGGTTTTCTGCTTGTGTGTAGGACCCTTATCTTGACAAGTTCTTTGCACTTGTCCATGCTCTGGATGAGCACATGTTCCCTGTGCGAATAGGAGACATGAGAATTATGGAAAACAACTTGGAAAATGAACTGAAGAGCAGCATTTCAGCTTTAAATTCCTCTCAACTGGAGCCGGTAGTGCGATTTCTTCATCTCCTGCTTGACAAACTGATTCTTCTGGTAGTAAGACCTCCTGTCATTGCAGGCCAAATAGGTATTCCATTTAAATTTTATAGAGAATTACATAGCTGAAAGTTTGACACTTCCAATTTTATCATATTTATGTAGAAATAAAAGAAGTCCTATTTTTATGCTTTATTTTAGTGCCACTAATATACCATGTATCTTCAAAATAAAACATGCTGGCATCCAGATCAGTGGTGTTATACACAAGAGCAATATTTAATACAAAGGTTTTCACAAATGACTAGTAATTTGGTGTCCAAGTTGAGACACGAGAAAGGGATCTGACTTTCATAAGTTGGATGCTCAGCATTTTCTTAGCAATGGAGCCTGCTAAGGTGTCTCCATACTACTGTTCAGAAACTAAGAACTTCAACCTTACTAGTCACCTTGGAAAATCTTGAAGTAGAAAAGATAAGAAGATACAGAGGCTATATGTTCCTGTAGCGATTGCGGATCTGGTACTGTCAGTGTGAATAATCCCTCCTTTTGCTCCCTGTTATGGGCTATGCTCTAGCAGTACAAAAAATCTCAGGTAGAAGTCAGGATTAGATCCTTAGTCTTTAAAATAGCACTTGGGATTTTTCATAGGAAACTTGAGTTTGGACATGATGGAATATAGGTAACTAAGACTGCCTTAAAAATAGCAATCATTCATTTTAGAAAGGTTATCTTTTTGGGGATGAATTTTGCTTGAATTCTTATTTTATATTTAAAAGCTCTTTCACTCTTTAAGTGTTCTGTGTTGGTTTACTTTGTCTGTATGGAGCATTGAGGATGTTAGTATATAGTTTTTAAAAAAATAAGATTTACAGTCTTCAGCTGCAGCCTTCTTCGTGCCTGATTTGTTTAGAATACCTGCCTGGGTCCGTGTGTATATTTTTGCGCTCATTATTAGAACAGATTTTTTTCCAAAAGAAAATGAAATTTTCTTTTTGATACAGTTTATATTTTGGCTATGGCTTGAATGAAGGAAATAATTAACTGTGAAAAGTATGATAAATATCCAAAGGATATTATCCATCAATTACACAAGGACTTGATCTTGTTACCATTGCGGTTGATGACCAAAGTTGGTCTGGTTCCAGAAATCAGACCTAAATTATTAAATTTGCTATTAATAAAAGTGGAAGCTTATCACTGCAACACCTGTCTTCCTGTCAAGCTGTTTATTAGACCTGGTTCAAATACCACATTCAGTTTTTCATGAGAAATGCTTGCTATACTCTTAACAAGCTTCACCATTTGTCTCTCAGAAGGTTGATGAAATGCACATTTAGGATTTGCTCATGGGTACTGCTGCAGTCTAAAACAAACTCCTCACTTACTACTTTCAGTTAACCTGGGCCAAGCATCTTTCGAAGCGATGGCATCAATCATAAACAGACTTCACAAGAGCTTGGATGGAAACCAAGACCAGCATGGCAGAAACAGCCTTCTTGCTTCCTATATTTATTATGTTTTTCGCCTACCAAATACTTACCCCAACTCACCATCGCCAGGTAGCTCTTTTTTCATTTTATTTCAAGGCACAGTTTGTTAAAAGCAAGCAGGAATTGCTTGTTGGCAGGTGCTCTTGAGCTCCAACTGCATGGCTGGTTCCCTGCCAAGCCATTATTAACTTTCTCTATGATTCAGTGTAGCCATTTACAAGAAGAGTTTAATTACAGTTAGCTATGTCAGAGATTTAACTATTTGATGATCTTAAATAACAGCATCACTGCTGAAAGACCATGAGGTTAAATTATGGCAAAATACTGGATTTTGTGTTCTGTTTCCTGTGGCCAGTTAGACACATGTGGTATACTCTTGGCCTGTCATGTTTCCCAGTCTCCTTCACTAGTACTTTTATACTTTTATCCAGTTCCAGCAAAAGTTGCAACACTGGCAAAGGAGTGTGAAATCCTTGAACGCACATGTCTGGTTGCAGGAGGGAAACAAATTAATTCCACCCCTGCTAAGAACAACGGATATATCTGCATGGGGGAAGAGGTGGTGTGAATGACAGCCGCAGAAAACTAGGCTTTGGAAGGACTGTTGTGCACAGCACTTACTTCTTGCATGGAGTGGAAAATCTCTTGAGAGGTGTTGGGAAGGTTGTGTACTTAAAATTGTGCCCAGCCTTTCAGTGGTTTTCAGGTCTGAGGACTGGAAAATATCCCTTTAGCTAAAGGCATACCTTAACGCTGGCTGCTTAAATCCACAGGGAGCTTCCTGCTTCCCAGAGATCGGTGGATAAAATATCGTTTTAATCCCATCCCTTTCTGCCTCCTGCTTGCCTTGAAGAACCAGGCAGGGGAAGGCACAGGGAAGATTTCCTCACAGGCCAGACCTACTGGTTATCCAAAGGGTTTGCTGCATCAGGCTGGTGTAAAGCAGCATGGGATCAAGGCTCTGATCGATGGTCTAACGGGATGTTCTTTCATACACCACCGTAGGTCCCGGTGGCTTAGGGGGATCGGTGCATTATGCCACCATGGCTCGATCTGCTGTCCGACCGGCAAGCCTCAACTTGAACCGCAAAAACAACAGCAACCCAGATATATCTGGGACCCCCACCTCACCGGATGATGAAGTTCGCTCAATCATTGGCAGTAAGGTACGCATGCACTTCTGAGGGTCTTACAGGAACTTCAGCATCTTTTATTTAATCTTTAAAGAAATAACAGGAAAGTTTTTGTGATTTTTTTTCCTATGAAAAGATATCCTTACTAATGGCCCCTTCTTAGACTTTTTCTGGCAGTTGCTGATAACACTACTGAAACTCTTCTCCTTAAAAGTAGATGCTGATCTCTGACATGTTGGAGACCATCCTGGCAGTGTTACTTCCACAAGTGTGGTGGCTAGGGCAAGAGTCCTTCTGGACTTGTCTCCCCAAGACTAGTAGGACATGAAAGGTTTTACTACTCACTTTTCACATGGCCAGCAGCCGTATCCTCTGACCAGCTCTGCTATGTCCTCCCAAACCTTGCATCCCTTACCTTGCCAGCCTATGATCCCACTCTTACCTCCCAAACCAAAACTCTCTCTTCTCCTCTGTGTTAAGCACTAACTGCTGCTCAGGTGCTTTCTGTACTGCTTATGTCCAGAGCAGGTCTCTCGCACACAGCAGGAA